TGAGTGTATTAAAGCTTTGAGTATAAATTGTTTACATACAATTTAGTAGTAATTGGAACTGGTCATTATGAATATAATATGTATGTGGATTATCTGTATATGGACAATAAACTGTTCAAGTGTTGTCCGGACTTAATTATAAGTCTGGTTAATTCAACCAGAGGCTCTGGTTGTGAAATCAGAAGCTCTGGAAGAGAGACCAGAGGGGCTCTGGTCGAGTATGTTGAAATATATTATAAGTCTGGTTAGTTAAACCAGAGGCTCTGGTCGTGAAACCAGAAGCTCTGGAAGAGAGACCTGAGGGGCTCTGGTAGAGAGACCAGAGGGGCTCTAGTCGAGTATGTTGAAATATATCCTAAGTCTGGTTAGTTAAACCAAAGGCTCTAGTTGTGAAACCAGAAGCTCTGGAAGAGAGACAAGAGGGGCTTTAGTAGATAGACCAGAGGGGCTCTGGTCGAGGATGTTGAAATATATTCTAAGTCTGATTAGTTCAACCAGCGGCTCTGGTCGTGAAGACCAGAAGCTATGGAAGAGAGACCAGAGGGTCTTTGGTCCTAATTGTCGAATTATATTCTAAGTCTGGTTGGTTCAACCAGAGGCTCTGGTTGTGAAGACCAGAAGCTCTGGAAGAGAGACCAGAGGGGCTCTGGTCCGGAATGTTGAAATATTTTCTAAGTGTGGTTTAGAACCAGAGGCTCTGGTCGTGAAGACCAGCAGCTCTGGAAGAGAGACCAGAGGGGCTCTGGTCCTGGTTGTCGAAATATTTTCTAAGTATTGTTTGAAACCAGAGGCTCGATAGACCGAAGCAGTGTGTTTGTAATGGAGGTGTAACCGCGAGAGAGATATAATGGTGGTGTAACCGCGAGAGAGATGTATTGGCGGTGTAACCACGAGAGAGATGTAATGACGGTGTAACCGCGAGAGAGATGTAATGGCGGTGTAACCATGAGAGAGACGTAATGGGGGTGTAACCGCGAGAGAGATGAAATGGCGGTGTAACCGCGAGAGAAATGAAATGGCGGTGTAATCGCGAGAGAGTTGTAATGGCGGTGTAACCGCGAGAGACATAAATATGTTTATGTATCGAAACAGGTTTGATTCTAAACTTATTGTTTAGAATGTATGATGTTTGTTTGAGACTTATACACTCACTAGACCTTTTTGGTCTAACGCTCAGTTGTTGGACTAACCGGTTTTGCAGATCATCATACCTCACAGGATAAAGGAAAGGGAAAAGTTTAGTGTTGATGGCATTTTGTTACTCATATATGTATTAACGAAAGTTTTTATTAGTCCATGTTTTGTAACAATACTATTTTTAGTATGTTGAGTATGATGATGTGAATTATCTGTACATGGACTATATGGGTTGTTACATATTTGTTTCATATTGGAAATGTTGGATTTTTAAGCAGATATATTTTTATTAATAGAACTGAGGTTCTTAAGTTTATCTTCTTATACATATCATTGAGGACTGCATTATTTGATTGTATTGCAATTATTTTTGAGCAAAGATATTTTATTATATTTTGGTGTTCATCACCCTGCAATTGCAAAGAAGGGATTTACTCATTAGACCTTTCTGGTCTAACCCTTATTTTCTATTTTAAAATTATGCAATGTAGGAATAGCGGGATCCGGGAATAGTAAAGGGAAAGGGAAAATGTGAATATTTTCCTGACCTATTATTTACTTTTGAAGATACATGTTGTATTATATGTGATAGTACAGGATTTGTTTTGGAAATTTTTATATGTAGATTTTGTACATATAGGAATCCTACATATAGGAATCCTTGTACTAGTGGGACCTTATGATATTAATTATATTTCTATGTAATGATATATGTGTTATATGCAAATGTGGAGTTTGGGGGTGTTACATGACCGTTGAAGTTGAATACAAAGATAGTACACTTCGTAAGATAAAAATGATTATCATCAAATCATAGAGAGAGAGGATCAACACTTTGAGTTATCGCATTTGTGTGATACGATGACTTGGGTTATCGCATCCTATGTGATGCGATGAGATGGGATTCTCACACCAGTGTGTTGCGATTAAATGGTGTTGTCTCACCCAAGTGATGCGAGAAAATTATGGCTTTAACTATATGATGCAACAAGTCATTGTGAAATGCAATAAATAATTTATTTTAGTTTTTGATACGATAAGTGGATATTTTGTCATTATTTTGATGTGACAAAAAGAGGTTTGTTTTGATAAAATGTTGTTTTTTTGTTATTTATACAAATATGGATTTTAAAAAAGTGTTCTGGTGATGTTCACCCTGTAATAGCAATCAAAGGGATTTTTCACTAGATCTTATGGTCTAATCCTCATTTTGGTGTTTTAAAATGTGCATTAACTTTTGGGATGATATGATATATTTTGTACTTGAATACTTGTTATGTATACAAGTTTTGTATTGTGATTACGTGGAAATACTTGGTAGCTACTTTTGTAATGTAGCTTTTGTATATTGTGGGACTGAATGAGTAAAGTTGTATTTCATGATATATGAAATATTTTATATGCAAATATGGTTTTGGGGTGTAACAACTGATCAATACCCTGGTGTTCCTGGACAACATTCTCTTAAAGGGGTTGCCTGTTTGGCGTTATGGCCCTAGATTGGGATCTCTAACGGTCGTTATCCCATTCCTATTAAAAACATAACACATAAGTAGGTATAAAACAAAGGTAATGCACAAAGCTCACAATAGAGATAAAAATCTGATCAACATCCTGAACCAAAACTCCTTTGAGATATAGGGAGGGTGGTGTTCTTTAAGGCATGTGAAGTCCTCACTATCCCACCTCACCCCCATCCACTTCCTGGTCCCTTACTACAACCCATTCGTGTCCACCCTCATCCAATGACCATACCTATTGTGCATGATATGAACCCATGCATCATAACCTCTACCTCCTACGTTAGGTCCTACTAAAACTTACCTTACATACACAAGATTTGTATGATGGTAAAAATAATAATTTGATGTATACAACTAGCTTAAAAAGGATTCATGTACACCAACCCGAAAAAGCTCGAACAAGAAGTCGTGGTCAACCTGAGGAACCTCCTTCCAATGATACCACGGACCACGAAACAATGACCTAAATATGGACATGACCTCTCGGATAGCATGGGATCTGGAAACCTTCACAATTATAAATTATATACAACACAAAAGACATTCATATCATTTTTTATGTAATATAAAGCCTTATATCACATCTACCTACCTGTGGCCTCCCAGATTTAGGTGCAGTAGCTGACTCGGATGATGTGGCATCGACATTGAATCGTTGGGGCCTCTCCTCGACCCCGAACCACTCAAATATGGGACCACTATCTCATGTTGCTGATTTTCGAGGTCGATGGAAGCATCCATAAACTCGTCATGGCATTGCCCCTATGGAGCTGGGACTACCTCTACCTCGACCTCTACTACTACCTCGCTTTTGGCGAGACATTGCCTGGAAAAATGAACATTATATTCTATCCAAAAAAAGATTATCTCGTTCATCCTCTGAAACAATATCACATCCCGAATCTAATGAAATAGGATGAATTGAGAGAGAATTTGATTTGGTTAGACAATGTATGGTTGGTAAACAAGAATTGGTTTTTTCACAAGGTACAGAAGGACAAATCACAATTATACAATTGTGATATAAACATACAAAATACAAGTTACTCTCAGAAATTATCAGATAACATTACTTCATCTTCGTCATCTGAATCTTCATCAATGTCTTCCAAATCTACTTTCTCGTCACTATCTTCATTTCCTGGTCCATTGTCACTATCGTCGTCAGATTCGTCTGACATCTTCATTAATAGTATCAAGTAGGTTTCACCTCCTTTGTGGCAAGAAAACGAAATCAAGGTCCTTATTTAATCATGTGGACGTTATACGAGTACGTTTAAAAAATAATTAATTATAAATTATTCAAATTTTATTATTTATTAAATTATTTATAATTATTCTTTTAGTTAATAATTAATAAGTAATAAAATATTAAATAATCTAGAGCTATAATTTATTAAGGAAT